CGCCACGTCTATAATAACAGAGCCTGGCTACAGCAACGTTGGAGGACCTCACTGTGATGAGGAGCCGAACCCAGAGGACAAAGTCCACGTCGTCGAAAAACGTCGTCAAATCCGCGCATGCCCGGATCGCTGTCGAAGGCAGCACGTGCCAAGCCATTCCCTCTTGCCGGTTGAAGACGGAACCACACTAGAAGTGTGTGCTCACCTTGCTGGTACACGGCGACTTCCAGCTCGCCCAGTCCAGCCCACCGGAAGCATTCAAGGGGAGCTTTGTCAAGTAACGGTTCGTCCCTTCTGCTCCACCACCTGCAGCCTGAACAATACCTTGATCAATTGGTTCAGGGCTGCTGAAGATTGCGTAAGGAAATGGCCAGGTGCCGCTCTCGAAGTCCTCGAAACTACCGCGAAAGGGCGCGGTGCCAGTGTGCCACGGAACAGGATCATGTGCGATGACGGGCTCTCCAGTATCCCGCAGTCAATGAGCCAAGCCTAAAATCACCAGCAATTCTTGGACCTCTTCTTGTGGAAATGTTTGGAGCAACGGCCCAACGGACGCAAATCTAGAGGGGTCAGATGCTTGCAGGACGGCAGCCACGGCACTGAAGATTGCTTGTCGAATCGGCTTGCGCTGGCGGGTAGGCACCAGCCCAGCCAGAATCACGAACTTCTTCACAAACTCCACATCCAAAGAACCCAAATGAGACGAGCATACTTTGAAGGAAGCGAGCAACAGAAGTTGGCTTTGCGGGTCTCGTGGCTCAACATTGAAGACGGGCAGTAGACCTTTCACAGTGAGCGGTCGCAGATCTTTGCATTTCTTTGCAAGTTCCACTGAGACATATAAGGCAGCTTCGCGGTGCTCCTCATGGTCTCCTTGTGCATGCCGAAACACATTCCCAGCGAATTCCCGGACCATGTCTGGATTGTGAGAATAGTGATCTTGGATGCCCGACAGCAACCAGCGGAGACCTCGCAGCTCAACAAGCAGAACAAGCAGTGGAGCATCAGAATGGGTATCTAAACGAAGCACGCAAGAACACTGATTTTGCGACTAAGACGCGGAAGAGCAAGAAGAAGAGACACATCGCGTAAGAATGAGAGGCGTGACTTGATTTTTGTTGGACAGGAACACCCATTGCCATTGCAATGTCTTTTGGGGTCTTTGCAAGCGCAGGGCAAACACAAAACAAAGTACCTGCAGGTCCAGATCATTCCTTGATTTCGCACAGGGCGAAAGAACTTGCAAAAAAAACGCTTGGAGAGGGGTGGATTGCAACCAATTCCTTCCTTGTCGTACACTTCCCACATGGTGTGGCGTCTAGAGTCTAGAGTCTAAACTACTTGTACGTGCTAAGTCATCATTATAAGTTGGTGAGTGTATTTGGCGCGTGTGTTATCGTGTTGCAGAAAAAATGCGCCTGTACAGCCAGCCTCAATGAGGCTCTCCTACACATGTCTCATCATGTCTCCAACGACATCCCGCTGCAACCGCTCGGGGAGGGGTGGACTTCACAAACTGGTCCTTCGGAGCGGCGGATTAAAGACATGGTCCTTCCCTGTGGCACACGTTCCCCATGAAATTTCTCGGGAGGAGTGGATTTTGCAAAGAGTCCTTCATTGCCTGTTCTACACTTCCCATACGAAACTGCGTTTGGAGGGGTGGATTGCGCAACGGTCCTCTTTCCCGGTCACGCACTTCGCACATGAAACTGCTTGGCGAACGGTGGATTTTGCAAGCGGTCCTTCCCTGTATCATACTTCTCACATGAAGCTGCCTTGGGAGGGACTTTACAAATGGTCATTCCCTGCTGTATACTTCCCAGCTAAGACCGCTTAGGGAAGGGTGGAGGTTACAAGCGGTCCGAATTCCGGTCATAGACTTGACAACTGAAACCGCTGCGGGAGGGAAGAATCTCGTAGCGTACCACTCGACTCTGCCTTCGCAAAAGTCCTGGCCTACCTGCCTGGCTTTGGTTTCTGATTCAGTGCTGGGGGAGTGTGATTTCTGATGCTGGTTTTTGCTGAAGTTGCTGATGAGTAGTCGCTGATTCGCACGCAACTCCTGACTCGATCGGTGTTTGTTCGAGCATAAACGGTTCCGGCAGTCCCGCCAACTTCACCAAGGAACGGGAGCTGGCAGCAACGATATCATCGTTCAGCTCTGCGCGAACATGTTGCGGAAATGTCAGGGCATACAATCCGCGCATGGCCGTCGCCCTGGCGGAAAACGGAGGTCCCAGGATGAGAGCAGAACTCCACAGTTACCAGCACAGCCGACCTTTTTTGCCCTTACCTGGCTACAAAGCCACTTGGAAGCTTTGCACATAAGCGGGCGCCTGTCAGAGTTGCCCGGATTCAGCAGGTATTTCTCCCAGTCCTGGCGCGCTGCAAACGCTGAGTAAGGCCGAGCAACATGGCGAGACGCGGCGTCTAGATGAGTTTAGGAGATCCTCATGTGCTTTGTGCAAGGGCACGCAGCGCCCTCGACAAGAGCGGCGTCATCCGACGCACGCAAGCGCCTCGATTTTCAACGCATCTGGCCTCTCGAATCGACGTTCCACGACACAGCTGCCGGGCGAAATGCATGTCCCGCACCTGACACGTGAGCCTCTGCAATTCTCTATCAGGATGGGCTGCTGGCCAAGCTAGACTTGTGCCCAGGCACTTGCATCATCTCGAATAATCGCGGCATCAGCCTTTGGTGCACCAAGAAGTTCTGCCGGAGCATTTCGCACAAGAATTCTATCAGCACCGCCTTTGGGTCCTCCCGACCACCGGCGTACGCCGCCCACTGCCGACCCCCGCTTCCTCCCTTCCATGCCGCCCTGCCCCGTTCCTGACACGCACGTGCACTGTTCGACACGTACATACAAACCACATAGAATCGCCAAGACACTCAGCAGGCAGCCCGGCAAAACTTGGGCAAATCGCACGCGTTGCGGGCGCCTACATGTGATGGGCTGAAAGGCCAAACACAACAAAGCAACGTGCTTCCTATACAACGTTGCGCACCTGTGCCTTCGCAAGCGTGTTGGCATCCTTGACCTTCGCCAGCGTCTCCGTCAACACCGCCAGCCTGCAAGATGCAAGCGCCTACCAGTGCACTGCTGCTACTGTCTCCGGTGGTTTGATGGTCATGTGAGCCCGACAAGCGTCTCATGCCAGCACATGTCGACTGCTTCATGCGCAACCACACTACCGCAGGTTTGATCTATCGCAGACGCGAGCCGTGTTTCAGCGTGGCCATGTTAAGCAGAGCCAAGCAACTCCTCTCCAAGCTGCGAATTGGCTTTCTTCAGTCGGCCACATTCCGCGTAAAGCTGCTCAGCTACCTGCCTGTATCGCGCCGCTTGGGCCTTGACGCGTTGCAGCTCCATAGCGAGGGTATCCATGTGGCTGGGCCAAACACTGGACACGACTGCAGATGACTGGGGCCGATTCACGCAAGACAGGCTTGAGCGACATCCAGATTCGATAATATGTTTTCAAGCTCACATCTGAACTTGCCAAACAACTCCGCTTGCGCATCATGTCCAACATTGAGCTTTGGGGCATGTTTTTTGGCATAGCTTCGTCACGCTACTGATTCAGGTGCGAACCACAGCAAATCATTTGCAATGAGTCCATTTTTGTCACCAAAAACCCTCGAAGCTGACACATGCATGGACTGAACAAAGCCTGCAAGCTCGCCTGCGGTGCAGTGTTGGTTAGCTTGCCCCGCCTGCGCTCTGCTCATGGACTTAGAAACCTTCCTCCTCGGTCCCCTTTTTTACCTCCTGCATCCTTGCCACCTGCAGCCTTACAGCGTCGCAGTTGAAACATGGCTTCGCTGGACGCTCAACATCATGACCGTTATTGCACATGGTGCCAAACTTGGAACCCGAGTCCTATGGACCCATGCCCAACATGGCAGTTTCCCGCTTCCGTCACCAGCCTGCCTCTCAGATCCCCTACCCTCGGCACCCCCTTTTGCGCCGCCCCCCCCCTCCTCGGGTCCCGAGGCTTCATCATGCTTCATCTGGTTTAGCTTTCGCCCGCTTGGCCGCCTCCGGATAAATCAAAGACAAATCTTCAAGCTTACGCTGTACATACAGAACGCCGAAAAACAACCTGAGGATGCCCAGCACCTTGTTGCCCAAAACATCCACAACACTCAACAGGATCGACGCGCCCGGCACCTCTCCAACCACCGAAACGCGCTGACTGAGCTACGCCGAGCTCTCCCCAGGCCTTTCATCAATCCACCCTGTAGGCTTTCATTGATTCCCATCAAGACGAATACCAACAGCACCACCCTTGTCCAACGCAGCTGGGCTGGCGTACAGAGCATGAAGCCCGGTAGCTTCCGCCATAAGCTAGTCCCACCAAGGTCCAGCACTCGGCGCCAAGCCACTCATCGGCTTCAACTTGCAGACCCATCTGATCTGATACCCTCAGAGCTCACACGGTCCCCGATGGAGTATGGATCCGTACTCGGCACGACGCCTGACTGCCCACCTGAATCCACCCGTCCGACGGACCCCGACCCTACACCCCCATCACCAACCCGCGTTAACGGCGGCAGTGCGCCACTTGCAAAACTTGACTGAATGTCATCAACAGGACTGTTGCTCATGCTCTCATGTGAACCGAAGCATGGACCATTGATGCAAGCGATGCTACGCTTGTCCTGCCACGCAAGCGACAGCGATTGACCTGTTGGACACGAATACGCCGCAGCGATGGACCTCTGACGCATGTGACACATGTGACACATGTGATGCTGGCCCGGACCGGCAACTGTGCTAGACCATGCTAGACCCCACAAACGACAGCGATAGACCCCAAGCTTGCAGAACTGGCGCTCATGCCAACGACTAAGCGGCTCACGTAGACATAGTTCCCCTACCCGGCCTACAGAATGCAAAAATTTGCGCACATCCAGGTCCAGGTCCTTCCGAGCTCAAAGCGGCACTCGGGCCAGCTCATGACCACCAGCAGTGGCGGCTACTGTGTAGCCTTCACGCCCACCAAAGTTCCTGCATCAACTCCCAAAGCTCGCACCGGTGCTGGTAGCGGAGCTGACTGATGATGTTGCGAATGTCTTGCTCATGTTGAAATTGAAGGCACTGGATGTGGTGCTCGTGCTGTGCTTGCATCTGCTGAATGATCTCCTGGATGTGTTGCTGATGGTGGGCATTCAACTGGTCGATGCAGTTGCGCAGCTCCTGCTGAAAGCTGGCCTGGATGTCATGGAGCAGCTCGCTGGTGACTGAAGGCAACAAGCCAGAGTTCTGATCCGAGCTGGAACTGGACTGGTGATGCGTTGGCGCCACGCATGAAGACGATGAAGAACTTGATTGGTGATGCGTCGGTGCCATGCATGAAGATTCTTCATCTGGCTGCTGGCTCGTCCGTCAAGGACAGAATGTACCCAAACCTGACAGCAAGATCCTCGTCAACTCCCTGTACCTTCAATAGAGACAAACGGCGGCTTTCAACGCGTACATGCTGGTACCTTTGAAGAACCTGCCTCCTGCTTGGGGCGAATCTCCTGCCAAAGGAGACATGACTTTCGCATGTCCCGAACGCGAAACCGAGATCTGAACCGAATCGGAAGCCAACCTAAGGCTTATATCTGAGTTTTGCGACGGGGCTCCATCTCACTTCGTTTACCATGGACCCAAATTGGTTAAGTCGACAAGTCACCCCGGCTGAATTGGAAACCAGAACGGTTGCATCGGAAACCGGAGTGATTGCATCAGAAACCAGAACGGGTGGATTCGGAAGATTCGGAAACCCAAGACTTCAATCGAAATTAGGACCTGAACATCGGAAGACGAGAACCATTGACCCGGAAAACAATGCATGATTCGGAACCCGAAGACCCGGGCTTGAAACTAGGCCCGAATCGGAGCGAAATGATGCACTTGGGAATGGATCAGAACGCTTGCCCTTGCGGGTGCACTGAGAAGAGGACGCATCATTGTTCGTAGCAAAGATGCGCAATGCAAGTGAAGTTGGACGCGGCTTCTGATTCGCACTGGCTTTTGATTTCTGATGTGCGCCGGCTGCTGCTTGCTGATTCTCACTACAAGTAGTTTTTGGCTTCTGGTTCGCACAGGTTCTGGCTTCTGATTTGCGCCGGCTTCTTGTTTGTGGCCCGCGCTGGTTTCTGAGTCACGCTGGTTTCTGATCTGCAGTTTGCGAGTTGCTCTGGTCTCTGAGTCATGGTTTGATATTCGCTGGCAAATTCTGACTCGCAATTTTCCGATATGCGTTTCTTTTGTTTTGTAGTTTCTGCTTCGGCGCTGGTTCCTGATGCGCTCGTGCTTTTTTGATTCGCGGGCTGGCTGCTGATTCGACCATTGATCACGCGTTACTATGCTGGGAGGAAAAGGAGGAGGAGGAGGAGCTGTAAAGCAAGGCAGCGGCTGACTTCGTGGGATCCAAACAAATCTTGAAAGAATAAGATAGATTGATCCAGCAAGGCCAACAACATGTTCCAGCCAAGGTGGCAAGGACAACTAGTTCGATTGCAGGGCGCTTCATCATTAAGCTAACATGTCTCTTACACCTTGGCCACTGCCCATGCAACCACAATAAGAGAAGCAGACAGAAACAAGTCACAAAGTCCATGAGGTACATATGATACACCAACGCCACTGTGCAACAAAGACGCTGGCAGTCAACTTTCAAGTTCAAAAGCTGCGCCCTCAATATGACAGGGCTTCGCTGAAGCCATGGATCAATGGCTGTTAACCTCATATACTCATAATCTGAAATGCTCATAAATGCTCTATGATTCTGTGAAGTCGAGGCGCTCCACGCCGCCCCGCAGGCGCACCGACAGGTGGAGCACTGATCCCGTCAAGATCTTGTGATCCAACACTGTGTTCGGCTCGAGCTGCTTGCCAGCAAAGATTAAGCGCTGCTGGTTGGGCGCGACGCCCAACTTCATGCATATCTTTGCTTACTCAGGGTCTTCACTAGGACCACTCGGCCCGTAAAGTCGCTGTACATAAAGGAGCGGATTGAATAGAATTCCATGCCGACGTGGTGAATCCAGCGCCAAGATTCCGGAATTTCCTCGAGTCGGACGTGATTGCCAAGATGAAGATGGGGATTCCGGAAGCCATTCGATAGACGATGGACTCGGAGGACTCAGAGCAAAGGAGGGTGAACAAGTTGCCCAACACCAAGAAGAGCGGCTTGCCGTCACTGGATTCGAAATTCAAACTAAAGTGGCAAGTTAGACCACAGCTGGCCGTAAGTAGGAAGGTTAAGGGCGTGCTAGCTGGAAAAGCACTGATGCTGCAGCTGAGGATGTCGTAGCTGGCACTCGCCCGTCCCTTCAGGGGAATTGTAGAGTCCCCAAAGAAAGCTGGCAGCACGGAAATGCTCAGCACGGCCATGAACGCGGGCACGAAGAAGAGCACACCCCAAGCGTCCGTCACCTCACCAGCAGTCAAGACTTCGCCACTCTTCCACCCGATCAAAACGCTCAGTGCTATATTGTACATCCCGTAGTGCAGCCAGATCACCATTGGGTTTCGCAATGTGTTTAACAGGGCGCGGGCTGTGAAAACCAAGGACGGCACAACTAGGTCCCTGCAGCGCAATGGCAAAGTGCCAGTGGGCAGGGCGGATGCATATCCGGGTGCTTGCTCCCAGGCCTCCAAGCAAGCCGCGACGGCTTTCTCTTCACCGGTATCCTTGGACAGGCACTCCGTGATCCACTCCGCCACAGCGATCCCAGGCTCGTTCTCCAGCTCCAAAAAGCCCTCGAAGTGGCCTAGCACGGCATCGAGCTTGCCGAGGTCGGCCTGCCTGCCGCGGCTGGCCAGCAACAGGTTGCCGGCACAGGCTAAGACGAACTCACTGAGCTGGTGAATGTTGCAGATGATGGTCATGCCCTTCTTTTCAGCGAGGTCCGGTATAAGCTTGGCGATCTGGAAGCCGGAGGTCGCATCCAATGCCGGGGTGGGCTCGCCAAGGAAAAGTACTAGGAGGTTGGCCAGCAGCTGCTCTCCCAAAGCCAAACACCTCTTCTGACCACCGGAAATTCCACAGAAGATGTCTCCTCGGGTTCACTCAGCAACAGAAAAACAGATTAAGCGGGGCCCTGCCCTCAACCCGAGCCCATTCAATCCAAGCGTCCACCGACTCGGGTGTTCCGACTGGTCTGCAGGTCCAGGAAGAGCACCTGTCCGGCCTCGCAGTAGCCTCACAGAGCCACGTGGATGTTTGGGAAAGGTAAACATAACTGCGAACATTCTCCTGCCGGCCACCGCAAATTTTAGGCTCTTTAGGACCAGAGCATGAGGAAAAGTCCCCTGTGCTGTGAAGTGTCTGCCTTACCAGCCCATAGCCCCTCAACTGACGTTGTGAGGCCTGCGTTAGCAAACGTGATAACAGTTAAAGTTAAAGCCGCAATGATCCCCAATTGCGAGACAAGGAGCCACTGACTCCCGTAAGGATGTCTTCGCGCTCTGATGGGGCTGCTTCACTTGCCTCAAAGCACATTGCACCCGGCTGCAAGGGTGGATGCTATGAGCGCTGCAGAATGCTAATATGAGAGCAAAACCCAAATGCTCTACAAACAAGTATAGCACAGGCGCCTGAATGGTTTAGAACTTGAGAGCCACAGGCAGGGACGAAAACTCAATAGTGGACAGGACGCGTGACGCAGGACCCGACAGTGAAGCAGAAGCCAGCCAGGCATAGTTCATTCTTAGTACCAGGACGGTATCTGATTGTAGTCTAAACGCCAACGGAGATGAACATCCAAAACCTTAATTCCTACACCCCAAAACATAGAGCCTTAACGCGAATGCACACAGGACAGCCATTGAGTTTTCACGTTTTCGTTAGGGTTTAGAGTTTTCACGTTTTCGTTAGGGTTTAGGGTTTAGGGCTTTCCATTTGCGAGGCAGTTTTCTCAGCATCATGGCTTCCGTGCCACCCTCAAGCGGAAGCGGTCCTTTCCAACGGGAAGCTTTCCATTAATTGACAGTAGCACTCTACAGCCCTTTCCGGCGAGAGACCGTAAAGTAAATCAAGATGGCCGAGTGTTGTCGGGGGGGCCCTTGTGCACATACCTGGCACTTCTCCTTATCACCAACGCAAGAGTGATCATATGTGGATTTGTTGCAGATGGCTTTAAGTCCTGACCCAAATTCTAAACCATCCAGGAGTCTGTGCCATGCTTGTTTATAGACCAGCGCAGGAACCTTATACCTTCACCTCCTCAAAACATACAGTCCAAAGCTCGCAACCCCAAATCTTTAACTTGCCAACCCTGCATACCAAAGATTACCCAAGGTTCTATGGCTGGGGCTCCCACCACACCAAAGCTGTGCCAGCGGAAGCCACCGGCTTCGTGGATGTCCTCGCAATCGTGAGAGACATAGGTTTGCAGGTACAACATGCGTCTACATACACATGTACGGACAATTCCTACGGCTTTGGCTCCAGGATGCTCCAGGTTTACAAACCAGATAATTGCTGGCACAGACAGCGTGGCCCGGCCGCCTGCATTGAGAAGCATTGGTGCGACATGTTGCAGAGTCCGGTGCTACACTGGCCCCATGAACAACCAGACTTCAATTCCGTGTGACGCAGCAGCAGTGTGCAAAGGCCACGGGGAGTGGGCAATCCAGTAGCCGCTGCACCAGATACTACTATAGTTGTAATAAGGAACCCAGGTATGATTATGCTATAATTAGAAGGGAACTATAAAGGGATAATGTTGGCAATTGTTTAGGCCCCAAGCCGCCGACCCCTGGCGAGTCGGAGGCCCAAGGTCAGGATCCACTGCCGTTTCTGTGTGCCTTCTCCTCTCTCCCCCCCCTCCCCCCCTTTCCGTGCCCAGTAGGCGGGTGTGCCCATGTCTACCGAGTCTACCTCCCTCCCTCTGCAGTCAACATGAGTTCTTCATGGCAGCATCTCCATTGCGAGTACTGCAGCTATACCAGCCATACGCAGAGAAATTCCTGCAGGATGATCAGGCTCTGGGGCCCGCGAGAAATTCTGTGACATCTGTGACCTGCACGCAAAGCTTGTCCTCGAAGTCGCAACATGAGGGCACGAGATGGTGTGAGAGGTGCTTGGAAACCGCATCTGGGAGTTGCGAGCCAAGGCGCACTGGCGGCATGGGCTCCAGAGAGCGCTGGGCAGCACACAGCATCTCACCAGCAAAGGGCAGAAAGCTGCAATTCAGTCGTAAGCCCTAGCAACCGTGCGCACGCTTTTGCAAGGTGGATGGTCCGCCAGAGTGTGCAGCAGAATGTAAGGTCCAGCCACTCACTCTGACTGCCGTCTGTACAATCTGCTGGGTCAATCACTCCAGCAGATCGGGTCGGCGCCGCAGCAGCTCCACCTCTCAAAGCGCAACGAGCTCTGAGCAGAGAGGAGCGGACGCGGAGCGGAGGCGGAGCAAAGGAGGCCCGAAAAAACTCCCCCCCCCCCCACGCAAGCTTCACACGCTCTTGGCGAGTCCTCCGCAATTGTAGAAGGGCAAAGTTCCGAATTTAAGTACCCCGAGTTAAGAGTACCCATGCTAAGTTTGTACTGCGCATTAAACTCTTTAGACTCTTTAAACGTCCAGACCCAGTTGCCATGGCTCGCAAGCCGTAGCGCCGGCCCAGGAACTGAGGAACGGAAGCCTAAGAGTCTCAGAGAGTCTCAGAGAGTCTCAAATGGATCTGCGCGTTTCAAGTCACAGGCTCTTCTTCAAACGGCCCTGTTGCCTTATGGCTCTTAAGCATGGCTTCTCGTTAAAGTCAATCAAGAGTCGGAGCGTCTTTAGGATCGCAGCATGTCATGGCATCTTGCTCTCAGAGAGGTACCTCCAGGTCGCACTGCTGCAGTATGAGCAGCAGCTCCATGAGCTCCTTGTCATCCGGGTCCTCGGCGGTCCTCGCCAAAAAAAACCGTCAGAGCACTTTCCGGACTGCGCATATTCTCGCACATTTTCGCACATCGGGTGTCCAGCTGGAAACGACCACGCCGTTGTCCGGGCAAAGGGCCAGAGAGACAGGTGAGTTGTCCACCAATAGGCACCGGTCCATCCGCCGGCCCATGCGCCGAAGGTCCTGAGCAAAATGTCAGGACACGTTGCTTTCATAAAAGGACACATCGCGAAAAAGGACAGGTCGGGAATTTGCCTTCAATTGCACGAAGTTTTGACGCATTGGAGCCTTGAGGAAAGCCCCAGAACGCTCCACACAGTGCTGTCCTGAGAAATCACGAAATGAAGTGTGAGATGTTGCCTGTAAAGTCAGTTGGGGTGCACACGGTAGAGGCGGGTGGAGATGTGCTGTCGGTCTGGGTCTAGTTGATCCAGCACCTCTGTTGAAAAAGGGAGCGCATAGAGTCATATGCACACCACTGCGCACCTTCAGAAGCAGGTGATGCTGGCACATGCTGGCACCTGGTCTGCGTACGACTTTGACGAAGCAGTGAACACCACCACCTCGAGGAGACTCACCACTGCAGACCATGGCAAATCTATCCCCCGAACCGTACCTTCAATTCGTTGCAATGATTTCGTCTGGGGTTTCTTCCGCTCATTTCGTCTTCATTTCGCCCAATGGCTCCGCCTGGTTTTTCCGTACATTTCGTCTTCATTTCGTTGCAATGATTCCGCCCGAAACTTCCTGCGTGCATTTCGTCTTCATTTCGTTGCAACGGCCGCTCTTCCGCTGCACTTTGCGCAGAGCCAGGTGGCGCCCAAATGCTTTGCCCAGTCATGCGGGATAAACATCTCAATTTTACGTAACAACCGAGCTGCAGGGCGAATTTGGGTTTCAAGTTTAACGACATGGGCTGCTTCGGCAGGTCTGACCAAATAGCTCGCGCCAAACATGGGCTGCTTCAGAAGCTCTGACCAATAGTGGCTCGCGCCAGAAGTTTCGGTTAAAGGTTTGTGGAGAGCCACAACGTGTTGAACTTCAAACCCAGATAGGTTTCTGGAGGGCCAAAGCATGACCAACTTCTAAAATTTGTCCCGGCTCCCATCCGGCACATCCCGACCTCGAAGAGCCGTGAGGCGACTTCGAGGAAGAGCCGTGCGTTTGGCCGCACGTAGACGTAGCCTGTGGCCTGCCAGGGACACCCAGAAAATCCTATTCGATCCTTTTGCTGAACGAGGCAACGCTTTCAAAAACAATCGAACTAAGCATCCAGGCCACTACCTGAACTACCGTCCTGCTTCTTGACTGTTCTGGTTTTGGGGGGCTGTAATGTATGTGCCGTTGACCAGACCAAGACCAAGCGCGGCCATTGGCAAAACCAGAAGATCAAATCGACGTGCAAGTCGCCTCGGCCCCCGAGAGGCGTCTGGAACAAGCAGACCAGGAGCCCTGACAATTGCGGTCCAGCCCCTAGCCACCACCCCCCCCCCCCGCGCGCAAGCCCTCAAGCCCTCCTACCCCCTGAACTCATGACGTGTGGCACATGACTTTGGCTTTCCTTCGTCTGCGATGCGCGCGCTACACCCCGCGTTGCGCCGGCTCGGCTGCCGAGGCGGGTCGCGCAAGCGTTTACAATTGCATAGAGTTGCATAGAGTGTCGAATCAAGCCAAGCCTTGGACTCCTCGAAATGGACGCAGAAGTCTGGCCTGGGGGCTCGTTTAAGGATTCTGCATTACAAGCTGAGATACTGCGGCACACAGCGATGCACTGCTGTCTAGTGTGACATGATGAAGCTCAATATTCTCTAATCGGACAGCTCGCCATTGAGAAGCTCTTTCTTGTCTGCACTGTTTCCAAGAAGCCAATGCTCATCCCTGCGTTCTGAACTTTCACTGAGCTGGTCGAAGCTCTGTCTGTTGTACTCCCCTTCGCCATGCTGGGCCACACTCGGCCCGGTCACGCTCAGCTCGCTGTTCGCAGGTTGGCGTGGCTCCGGCGTGCTCTTCCTCCCCCCCGACCCCCAAATCCTCCAAGGGCCCACCACTTTTCCTATTCTTAAGCCGCATGTTCAAAAAGCTTTTGAGCGCGCGTGCATGCGCGCGCCAACCTGAAAAGTGTTGTGTCATATGTGTTGTGGATAGAAGCGTCTTGGGATGTCTTGGGCATGAGAAGCAACAGGATGTACGCACATATTCGCAAGCATGCGTATTCATACGCCGTCGTCGTACGATCTCGTGTACGACTCACAGACAAAGCTCCGGGTGGCGGGGCTGCAGGCTCTTCAAGGGCTCGAGGCGGCAGTGCGACAGCGTCTCGTCCAAATCCTCGCCGACTTCGTCAAGAGACATGAGCAGTCCGAGCAGCCCCTGACTGTGTGACAAGTGACAACAGCCAAGGTGCCAAGACCACGGTCATGCGCGGCATGATCTCACCGTCCAGGCCCTCCTCCAAAGATCGTCCATAATAAGCTTGGGCATTTCGCATGGCTTGACCTAGCATCTCTCCTGGCGCGGCAGCAGAGCAGGGCCCTGGCAGGCGAAAAAGGAATGCTTCGGAATGCTTTGAAACAACGGTTCAGGTTGCTTTGTGATGCCTTGCCTCAGGAACTGGCCCAGGATCGTCGCACTCGTACCTGAGTCGATGTTGGCGTAGTGCCCTCCAGCTTTCACCAGCTTTCGGCTTTGGGGCACGCAAGGAAGCGCAGGGCCGCTCGCAGGCTATCCTCAGCCGCGGTCAGGACAGTGCCAGGAGCCAATCACTGTCACGATGCTGCGGCGCATCTCAGCGAAGTACAGTACATATAGTAATGACTGTATAAGGCTGTTATAAAGCTCCAAAAAAAGCAGTCGAACTATTGCAGCGCGACAAGACATGGGACGAAAGCTGAGCGCCGCAACGTCCAGCTCGGACCATGCCGGCGGCTCTTCTCTGGGGTTGGGCATCGTGACGCCCATCGTGGGCCTCGCCGCCCTCAGAAGCAAACACCGACTTCAAGCCGGAAAAATCAAGCCACGTGGGATGTGAAGCTTCCTTGCTTTTCTTGGGCCAGCGACGGCCAGGCACCGGGATGCACCATGGCAGCAGCCATGGGTTTGCGACTCGGGGCTTGCGCTATTTACAGCACGTCGGAAAGTGAGGCATGATCGGCGACATTCGGCCACATTCTGCACTGCCAGGGGGGGTTCGTGGATGAAGCGCTGGTCCATGCGCGTGGCTCCAGTGCAATTCTGATTTTGAGATATGACGACCATTCTGCATGCGTATACCTGGGGCTCGCCCAGTGAGCCATGCTACAAGCAGAACTCCAAAGCGAAAATGATGTGACAAAGCAAGATCTCACAACTTGAAGTCCACATCCTCGAAGTAGACTCACACGTGTGGCTTTTCCACGGTCTCAGAGAATGAAGACAAAGAACGGCGAGAAACAATGTAGCAACGGGAACAGCGGTAGGCAAGTCCCGGAAGCCCGCTCCCATGATTGGCTTTTGAGTGGTTTTTTCGAAGTCACGACGTCCCAGGGGTCTGCTCTCACGACGATATTTGCGGCGTTTTCGACGAGGAGTTTTGCGAGCTTTTCGACATCGCGGAAATCCGTTACCACCACATTATTTGTGTAGTTTTCGACCGTTCTCCC